CGAAATTAAAAAAAAACAAAAACAAACAAGCTCTTTATATAATTGACCAGAGCATCAAAGGAGGATTCCATCTTCTTGAGTAAAGTTGTAGGTAAATGTGTCAAGTTAAAATCGAATACATGATTAAAGTGCAACGTCTTCTGTTTACACAATTAACAGTTTATTAAACTGTTTTTACTTAACATGTTTCTACGTCGTCTTCAGGAGTTATTTTACAAGGCAGTCTATTCTTTCAGCGTGTCGTGGGGTTGTTTCTACGTGTTCTGCTGTAGTTGGATTTTCTTTATTATTGTTCCTTACATACCCATCACGTTCTTGTAATTTAAACTTTGAATTCCCTTTAATTTGACCAGTATAAATACTACCATATTCACATTCTATTTTATAAATCTCAGTTTTGTCTTTTATCTCTACTTTACCTTTGGTATTCCCTAACATTTCCTTTATGTTATTCTTGGGTTTAAAGATGAGACAAAAGTTTTGTTGTTTCTTAAAAACATTAAATAATAGACCTGTTAATTCTAGAATATATGGTAAAGTCAAAGTTTCACTTTTATTTTTTAAAACAGATTATAACACAGTATTCTAACTAACATTGAATTATTACTAAATTTATTAAATGCTCTGTGTACTAGATTTGCCGTCACGTGAAGCATGTGGCATCTACGTATCTTATCCAAACGCCCCCCAGCGGCACAGCGGTATGTTTGCGGACTTACAACGCTAGAAACCGGGTTTCGATACCCGTGGTGGGCAGAGCACAGATAGCCGTTGTGTAGCTATGTGCATAATTAAAAACAAACAAACTTATCCAAACACATTTACTTGAACTTTACTTTAATTAATGCTTCGGTTTCAAACATGTCTATGTAAAGGTTACATAACAAAGGTAACAGAGGGATTCACTACTTATACTTTGATTAAATTAGATAAATGAATTGTCAACATACACTCTTGTTAAATTCGACACATCTAATGAGTTGTCAACATACACTCTTGTTAAATTCGACACATCTAATGAGTTGTCAACATACACTCTTGTTAAATTCGACACATCTAATGAGTTGTCAACATACACTCTTGTTAAATTCGACACATCCATAATATCAACTGCTGAAATTCGACTGTCTATTAATTTATTTGCAAAACATCTAATAGGTTAATTTACTAGAGTTTTGACGAATAACGATATTTGCATCAAGTGATAATAGTAGTTAATATAAAAAAGGAAGGATATTCTAAACAAAAAGAGGGGTTAGCTATTGGATTCCCCCTTGTCACCATTATTATGTGAGCTTTACATGGATATATTTGAAACTGAAGCATTGAGTAAAGCAAAGTTCCAGTTGGAGGTGTACGTAAATGACACATTCTTGGTGTGGCGGCATGGCAAGAGTAAGTTAAACAAATTTCCTAGTTATTTAGTATAGAACCATCAATTCAATTTATGTATGGAATTGGACATAACCGTCTTCCTTTTCGAAACGTACTTGTCGAAAAGTACATAGATGGCAATTTAGTAACGTCAGGTTATCAAAAAAAAACTTTTTGATGTTGTCTTGCCGCCATGCCAAGAATCACTTCATACAAAAATACGAAGAAATTTTTACATTTTACCTTAAGTTTACAGAGGGATAAAATATGTTTTCTAGACCAGCAGATTTAGGTAATGAATTGTTATTAATTAAATACGTAGCGGTTGAAAGGGGGAGTTACACCAAGTCTAGTACACAGAACATTTAATAAATTTAGTAAAAAATCCAATGTTAGTTGAAAATACTATGTTAAAATACTATGTTTTATGAGAAAAATAAAAGTGATAAAATAATTAACAGGTCAATTATTTAATATCTTTTAGAAACAACAAAACTTTTGTCCCATCTTTAAACCCAACAATAAGATAAAGAAAACGTAAGGGAATACCAAAGGTAAAATAAAGATAAAATAGAATGTGAATATGGTGGTACTTGTATTAGTCAAACTAAAAGAGACTTAAAGTGCACATTACAGGAACATTAAAGGGTACGTAAGGGACAATAATATGGAAAATTCAATTATAGCAAAACACCTACGAACAATGCAACACACAATTCTATGGGACAAAACTACAATCTTAGCTCAACGTCATAATGTTACTGCTTTAAATATCTGAGAAACATTAGATATATAATACAATAAAAATACAAGCATTAAATTGAGATGAAGGGCCATCAAGTCACTTAAGTGATATGTGGCGTGACATATTGTAAACGTTGACAAGTGACTTATGTAAATAACTCTGGAACTTAATACCTCATGACATGCAGAAAGTGTAAATTTTCTTGTAAATATCTCCCGAAGATGGCGTAAAAGTGTCGAAACATATCACATGTAGAGTGTTTTTAAGTGGAAGCGTTTGATGGCATTACTAAATTTTTAATTGTGTAAACATAAAACATGGCGTTTTAATTATATATTCGATTACATAAGTGCCGAATATTTATAATTGAATATGTCAGATGTTTCCAAGCAGCAAAAATAAATCGTGCAATTTTTTGTAAGTATAGTCTCGATATCTAAATATTCAGCTTTTACAATCAGAAATGATTCATTAGAATGTATTTCAGCGTGGCATAAAAATCAGATATAAAATATTTATTATGAAAGCTTTGAATAAACTATCTTTCAGTGTCTTAAAGGATAACAAGTACATCATTTATAATTTCTCACACAACCCTTTATTTAAAAATAAACTAGAGAAACGTACAAAAATGCGGTTTTCTAAATTTGGCAACTAGGCACTGGGGCATTACAGAAATATTTCAAACTGTTTTCACAGTTTTATATAACATTGGCACGTTTCCCGTATTCCTACTTTTTGGGCATACAGGGATGTCCCGAGATATGACACAAGTTTTGTTAGTTGTAAATATTCTGGGACAAGCTAAAATACGACGATAACAACAATATCTGAAAGAAAGAGTTAGAAATTGTAAAACGTCTTCTGATTTAATCAAGTACGTTCCATGACTTACTCTAACTCCTGAAACTCCTGGCTCACCCTTTGGCCCAGGAGCACCAGGCACAGCTTCTAAACCTGATATACCTGGTGAACCTGGCAGTCCTGGAGGGCCCTGAAAAATTATCACACAGTCAGTTTGCGTTTACTTTTGTAATATGGTTAATGAAACAGGCGTCAATAAAATAAAACTTTAATAATATTTTGTTTCTTAATGAGTTGCATGTATATTATACTAATAGACCTTAACTGACTTCAATTAGTAATTCATTGGTTAGGTTCTGATAATACATATATATCAATAAACAGTGTAGTCAGTATTTTATCGACAGCTTAGATATCGTCATAACTTAGCAAACATATCCAAACAAGCTTTACTATTTTTTCTTAATTAACATGATTACATTCTGTATTCTTAACCTTCTAGAACTTCCTAACAACTTATGAATGAAAGCAAAGAAGACTATTTTATAATATGTCAACTACACTAAATCTGCCATATACATTGCCGAGGAGGTCTTTCGTCTAATACCAGGGCTCATCAGGTCGGTTGGGATAAGACAAACATAGTAGTGGTCTAGGCGGTATTTATATCACCAATTTTCGTGAACAACGATTTTAATAGTGTGCACAAGATTAAGTAAATGAATTGTTAATTATTTTCAGTTTTATTTAAGTTATTTACAAATTACATTTTTATGGTGAAGATTAATAATACAATAATATTTATCTATTTTATTTCGAATACCTATTATTCATTTTTTATAATTATTATTTTATTTCAATTAAGTTTACTATCATGCACAAGAACCGAGAACCAGCAAGCTAGTTTTCTTGTTCCTGGAGCTGGTCAAATAACTACAGCGTCAACGAGTAGAAAACAATATATTAGTAATTCTAAGAATTTATGAGAGAAAGTTGGCAGTGTGATGAAAAGTTTGCAGAGCTCAAAGGAGTATACCTTAAATCAATAATTTACTCTTTATTTAAATCTATAACCCAAAGCATTAAGATTTATCTTCATGTATATAGAATTTTCAACTGCTTTTATCTTAATCCTCATTGTTTACTACATTGCGACTATAACCGTCCGGAACATCAGGATTAAATGGAACGCAAGTAAGTTAATATTGTCACCAGGGGTTTAATCACTGAGATACGATATTTATGTTTGTTTGTTTGTTTGAAATTAAGCACAAAGCTACACATTGGGCTATCTGTGCTCTGCCCACCACGGGTATCGAAACCCGGATTCTAGTGTTGTAAGTCCGTAGACATACCACTGTGCCACTGGGGGGCGATATTTATGAAACAGTAGATGTTGTATGTATATATATATAGAGAGAGAGAGAACACATTGCACAAACATTCTCATTCTCTGCACCTTGAGGTTCTCGAATCCTATTAGAGGTCTGAAAAGATAATTATATAAACTAATTTAATGAATGATTTGGTTCACTTGCTTTCCAGACAGGTAGCAGAAGGTACTTTTTAATAGCATACTTCCGTATGTATTTTTTATATAAATATTCTGCCAAAAACACGTCAAAATACGACAGAAAACTCCTAAAAAGTTACATGGTGTAAACCTAGGCTACGGTCTTTTTTATCAATAATGTATGTTCTTAGACGAAATAAAATGACTCTCTTTTCCTTTGCTTATAAGCCATTCACGTCCTAATAAATTATATCACTAATAATGCAGCTTGTAGATACATCACCATAATTTACGATATTTTTACACTTGATGTAAAGCGTATTGCAAAAGTTGGATTGTTTAATAAAGAAGTGAAAACTGTGAAACTTTGAGCTTCGTTATCTGTTTTGCTTCCTATCAAAACTTTATGGAATTCATTTTCTAATTGCAAGATGCCTTTAGTCAGCCAAGAAAATCTAAGCGTCCCAAGTTACCCTAGTGACTCAATGAACGCGACATAATATTACTAGTTCTAAGAAATTAGAGGGTGAAAAAAAGTAATCGCTTAAGACCAATTTTTCAACGTCTTCAGACTCTTAGTTGACTCTACTTGCTTTTTGTCAAAATATATTTAATCACTCAAAAAAAAAAAAAACTAGTAGAAAAAAACTTAACCAGTTGAGTTAAAACTCTTTATTTCTGATGCATACCAATTAAGAGCATTTTAAAACTTACTAGGATATCTGGAATTTTATATACACCTCCGTCAGGGATATGTTTTGCGAGATTATCTTGTTAGTTATTACAACATAATCAGGTTTCATTTGTGATTCATGTTTTTAGTTAAATATGTGTGTTGACATTATGTAACTTTGATATCTTGTAGAATACACAGATTTAATCCTTAAATTACCGCCTTGTTTAAAGACTGATCAGTACCGGTTGGATGCTCTAATTGCATCATATTAATCAATTTTATCTGTTACAACACTCAGTGTAACGAACTGACCAAAAACAAAGGAGCGAAATCGTTCATTTTGTATGTAAAATGCCCTGTAATTTTTGGGATTAATTACAATAGTAACTTTCATTTCGTTAAATTTCTGTGTTTGAGTGGCTCTTTCAGTGAAACCGACAAACTCATGGGCCCACAAGTAATAAACTATATAAATAAGTTATTAAGACACAAGAGTAATGACATATTAGCACAGTTCAGTTACAGCTTCATATATTTCCTTTTTACTCACAGAGTTATTTTTTTTTGGTCACTGACGTTTTATAGACAGTGAAACCCTTTCTCTCAGAAAAATATGTGTAGGAAGTCAATAGAGTCCATAGGGACGACTTTAATCGGTAATTCTAGGGTTAAAAATTTCAAAATGTTTTGTATAACCTCAACATTAATATTTTTTGCTAATGGTTTAAAGAAATAAATCATATTTACTTTGAACATAACATAATGTTTTGGGACAATGTGGGACTTATTGGTCTTGGACATCTCGTCTGTCCCATCCTCTAAACTAAACTAAAACTCTTAATAAATAAATTTAAAAAAATCTTAAAGCCAACCATTATCATTCATATACTTATCAAATTTTCTCTTAAACTCACTTAAATTTACTGTTTCCACAACTTCCAAAGGCAACCTATTCCAAAGGACAACCACCTTGTTAGAAAAATAAAACTGTCTTAGCTGAAGATGACTCTTATTCTGCCACAATTGATATTTGTGTCCCCTAGTCCTACTATTCTCACTGTTAAGTAAGAAAAAAGATGACACGTCAACACTATCAATTCCTATTACAATCTTAAACACCTCAATCAGATCCCCTCTAACTCTTCTTTTTTCAAGAGAGAACAATTTGAGAGATTTCAACCTCTCCTCGTATTAGAACCCCTCCATCCCAGGCACCATTCTTATAACTCTTTCTGAACCCTTTCCAACAATACAATATCCTTCCTAAGGTTAGGAGCCCAAGACTCAATACTCCAAATGTGGCCTAATCAGTGACCTATACAACGGAATTATAACCTCTTTAGACTTGTATTCAATATTTATGTAGATACAACCTAAAATCCCATTTGCGTTACCACTAGCAACAGTATACTGCTTGGGTGGCTTAAGAGACTGATCAACTATTACACCAAGCTTACTTACTCCAATTAAAAGAAAAACTGTTATAAAGTTCAAAAACATCATACGATGATATAATATTAAATATTAGGTACACAAAAGTTTGACGTTTCTTTTAAAAACATCCGGTTTTTTACTCAATATGACTTGAAAACATTAATAAACTCACAATGAGCTCATCGCATTTTACCAACTCTGGCCACGAGGCGTCACAGTTTATTACCATCCACTGTAGCTCTATCTAAAATAGAACAACAATAAGAAATATTATTATAATTTATCATGCTCTCAATAAGATTACCTTTCAGTTTGACAGAAGACTTTCACAGATATGTTTAGAAACAAAAGTTGAAGGTTGGTTAAAGAACAAAGAGTACAAAATTATTTTCACAGCAGTTCCTTACTCCTATTAAAAGAAAAACAGTTAAAGTTCAAAAACTTGTTTTACTTCAAAATAATCACGGTTATAGCTAAGCCTACTCTTACACTAAGTAACCTATAAAGAATAAATTCCTGAATTAATATTAACTACGTACGTGCAGCACTGTCGCCAATCGATCGATTTCAAAAGTCGACGATAATGTATAGTAATGTCACGTCATCGATTTATCGAGCTGAATGTATTTAAGAATACAGGTGGAATAATTCTTACTTTCTTCAGTACTTTCTAATAATTACAGCTTATACCTTTTCCAGTACTTACTACTAAGTACAGCTTACCTTCTCCAATACTTTCCACTAATTACATCTTACCTCCCTCAGTACTTTCCACGAATGTAATTAGTGGAAAGTACTGAGGAAGGTAAGATGTAATTAGTGGAAAGTATTGGAGAAGGTAAGCTGTACTTAGTAGTAAGTACTGGAAAAGGTATAAGCTGTAATTATTAGAAAGTACTGAAGAAGGTAAGATGTAATTAGTGGAAAGTACTGAGGAAGGTAAGATGTAATTAGTGGAAAGTACTGGAGAAGGTAAGCTGTACTTAGTAGTAAGTACTGGAAAGGTATAAGCTATAATTATTAGAAAGTACTGAAGAAGGTAAGATGTAATTAGTGGAAAGTACTGAAGAAGGTAAGATGTAATTAGTGGAAAGTATTGGAGAAGGTATAAGCTGTAATTATTAGAAAGTACTGAAGAAGGTAAGATGTAATTAGTGGAAAGTATTGGAGAAGGTATAAGCTGTAATTATTAGAAAGTACTGAGGGAGGTAAGATGTAATTAGTAGAAAGTATTGGAGAAGGTAAGCTGTACTTAGTAGTAAGTACTGGAAAAGGTATAAGCTGTAATTATTAGAAGGTACTGAAGAAGGTAAACTGTAATTGATAGAGGTACTGAAAAGGTATAATCTCTAGCTATTTTTACTATAAAGACAATGTTTATAATGTCAATAATCACTGAGTTGTGTACAGCTCAAGTTCAAAATGGTGGTGTATATTTTGAGATAATATTATGCATAACGCACATAGCAAAGTAAAAGGTAGCTTATTGAATGTACATAGAAAGTTTCCCATCAATGACCAACTCTGTACGACAAGCATATCAGTTTATCAAGTTTTATAATGAGCAGAAAGCATACTTACAGGTACACCCTTCTTTTCATTGACATATTTTGCGATGATAAGTTCTCCCTTCGCATCAATTAATGCAGGATGGCTGATTGGAAATGATGACATTTTCCGACAGTCAATCATTAACTTGACACTATCTTTGAACACACTGATCGCTATCTTATGCCACTTCTTATCATTGATCTGTGAAGACGCATAGAAGACAACATGAGATTTCCTACCCAATGCAAGAACAAACGAGTATACCTAAATCTACACTCAATTCCATGTAGCTCAAGTTAGAAAACAATTTTTGAAAAAATCATAATAAATTTCAAACATGACACATGACATTGGAAACCTAACCATGTAAGAGTCGTCCACTTTTTGTCATTGCAATATCCCGTTATTGATCATAACGCTGACTGAAATCTAAAATAGTACATCTGATACTTCCAAGAATTTACCATAAAAATATAAGACTGAACTTAAGATTGAAGTATCAGTTCATTGGCTTCAGACTTAGAGAAACCTTACATACGTGCAATGCTTCAATAGTTCAAGAAAGACTGATACAACCGGTTTAAATAACTAAAGCCTTGCTAGCCGATACAGACACCGTAGTGCTATAGATAAGAATCGTTGTCTTTTTTGTTGAATATTTTTTGGTACTATAGTTTTAATCCATTTGTCTGTTTTGTTGAAGATTCCGTGCTACTATAGGTAAGAATCTCTGTCTGTCTGTTGAAGATTGCGTCTACTGTAGATCAGAATCGTTGTCTGTTTGTTGAAGATTCCGTGCTACTGTACGTAAGAATCTCTGTCTGTTTGTTGAAGATTGCGTCTACTGTAGATCAGAATCGTTGTCTGTTTGTTGAAGATCCGTGGCACTGTAGGTAAGAATCTCTGTCTGTTTGTTGAAGATTGCGTCTACTGTAGATCAGAATCGTCGTCTGTTTGTTGAAGATCCGTGGCACTGTAGGTAAGAATCTCTGTCTGTTTGTTGAAGATTCCGTACTACTGTAGGTAAGAATCTCTGTCTGTTTGTTGAAGATCCGTGGCACTGTAGGTAAGAATCTCTGTCTGTTTGTTGAAGATTCCGTACTACTGTAGGTAAGAATCTCTGTCTGTTTGTTGAAGATTCCGTACTACTGTAGGTAAGAATCTCTGTCTGTTTGTTGAAGATTCCGTACTACTGTAGGTAAGAATCTCTGTCTGTTTGCTGAAGATTGCGTCAACTGTACATCAGAATCGTCTTTTGTGTTTGTTTGTTTGTTTTTAATTATGCACAAAACTACACAAGGGCTATCTATGCTCTGCCCAACACTGGTATTGAAACCCGGTTTCTAGCGTAGTAAGTCCGCTGACATATCGCTGTGCCACTGGGGGGCCGTCTTTAGTGAGCAATCAAGTTTCATTTACTTTTCAAAACTTAATATTAGAAATACAACTGGATATTTTATGCAATATATGGTTGTAAAAAATGTTAGGATTATAAAATATGACTCTTTCATATCAAACTAATAAACAAATTTTAATTATATTCTCTTACTGTATATTTTTCATATAATTTTTGAAATCTCATACCTTGTATAGACTGATATGAATGAGAAACTGATCCAAATACTGTGCCAAAATCAGATATACTGATTACACAACGTACAAAAACACCATAATCAAATACAGAGTTCCAAGTCATAATTTTGTTCGTTCGTTGAATTTTGCACAAAGCTATACGAGAGGACTATCTGTTCCAAGTCATAAATACTCCAAACATATTCAAGTAATATCATGGTAAATTAGTTGGACATAAATCTAAATAGCATCAAACAAAAATCAATCAAGCAAAAGTCTATGTTTCCCCATCAATTTACTAATTAATTAGTTAAAACCAGTTTGAAGTTATGATGATATTTATACGCAAAATGTACGAAGATGATGATGTAAAACGAAACGTTCTTTACATGTTGCTATCGCAGTAAAAGTTCTGTTCAGTTCGTGGTATTGATTATATTCACTTTGATTAAAAACACCTAGATAACATTTTTAAAAATCGTTAATACTTTATCAAAATTAAAACATAAGTGTACTCCCCGTCACGGATTTAAACCTTGGTCAGCCGGAAGTGAGATGCATGTCCTATCCTCCAATACACGACTAGTTTTTAACTGTGTAACTTTACTAGATGTACTTTATGGTGTAATAGGTATATTTTTGTTTTGTTAATTTGCAGCTTGAAATATGTTTCTAATAAAATATCGAATAGTTTGTTTCTTTGTCGCAAGAATATATCGCAAAGATACACAAAGGTTGGTTATCTACGCATAGCCGTCCCTGATTTGAACTGACAGACTAGAGGGAATTCAGCCAGTGTACAGTACCCACCGCCCCACCTTGTGTTACTCTTGTCTGATGGAATAGTGGGATATAACTATAGCTCGAATGTTCAGAGCGCGTTTTCGTGGCAATATGTTTTGAACGTGAACACTCGGATTCGGAGTCCGGGCACACTACTGATTTACACTCAACTATCTAAAAATGTCTGAACTGAAGCAAAAATAAGTAAGCTGTTACAAAAGTATTAGGTACCGTAGAATATATTTACCTTGAGCTTAAATACGTGCACAAAAGGTGCCAAGTATCTGATATTTGTCTAGAATAATAATATTATTATTATTTCTATGTTGCTTCTGAAACTCTGCGTTTCGGTACACCTAAAGTAGTCATTATTTATTTTGGCTAAAACTTGTTACTCATTCTTGTGCTTCGGTCTGTTCTTCGTTATCTTTGAATTCGCGTGCAAACTGGTAATGCACCAGTCATATTGGAGCTGCTGGCAGCTAAAATACACACACCAAAAGTGAGCACTTTCTTGTTGAAACTGTGTCACGGCCAGCAAAGAAAAACAACGTGTAATGTTCTGATGACATGTTCAACAAATATGAAGGCGGTGACAGTAAGCAATTACTGTACGTTCTTTTTTTGTTGGAAAGATTTAAGTGAGAGAGAAAATATGTGTATACACAACATGTATAAACTGACTTTACAGCTCTGTTAGGGTATCATTAAGAGGATCTGTTACCACCCTATCGGTAGCCTGTTAGGGTATCATTAAGTGGATCTGTTACCACCCTATCGGTAGCCTGTTAGGGTATCATTAAGAGGATCTGTTACCACCCTATCGGTAGCCTGTTAGGGTATCATTAAGAGGATCTGTTACCACCCTATCGGTAGCCTGTTAGGGTATCATTAAGAGGATCTGTTACCACCCTATCGGTAGCCTGTTAGGGTATCATTAAGAGGATCTGTTACCACCCTATCGATAGCCTGTTAGGGTATCATTAATAGAATCTGTTACCACCCTATTGGTAGCCTGTTAGGGTATCATTAAGAGGATCTGTTACCACCCTATCGGTAGCCTTACTTCTCATATTTTCCAGTCATACGTAACTTGCAAAAGCGTAATGGACCATCGAATAGTTTTTGTTGTTTTATGTTTTTTTTTAAAGAAGACTATGAGGTAAATTATTCTCCTCCGAACCATTTCACCGCTTCGCACAGTGTCCGTGTAGATTCTCTCGTTGTGATTCAAAAATACACGAATATTAATGTAAACTTGGTGTTTTTTCACTTGAAGCCTTCAAAGCAAGTTTGCTACGATCAGAACTCCACTTGACTTATCGATGTGTGTATTAATTTACAACTTCTCTATCAGGACGAGAAATATATAAATATATATAGAAGCCTGAGAGCTACCTGTCGAGAATAATCATAAATTAAAATTAGAATATAATTTTAAAATATTCATATTTCTTATTTACTTTTGTCCCCATGAGATGTGTTAGATGCAAGTTTCCTAAAATCGTATTTCCAATATTTGGGCAAAAGATATCCCTCAGTTTTCGATGTTAAATTTCAGTTACTAGCAAGAGACAAACTTATTTGTTTTTTTTAAATGGAAATTTTAAATAATCATGAAAAACAATCGTTCTTAATAAACGTAACATTTTGTGATATAACACACTGTCAAGTTTTTGTACTTTCAAAAATTCATTATTCACGTATCAACGAGGGAAAATCCATTTTACACACAAGTACACAAATAATATTAATAAATGGGAGAATGTAAAGCAAGCATTGAAAGGCAAGACAATAAGAAGAAATAAATAGATGGTTAAAATAACAATATATAAAAATAAAGTTTCAGTAGTTTTCAAACGAGAAAACCACAACAACTTTTGTATGTGATCATGTGTGCTAACTTCTTAATCACACTTTTTAAAAAAATTTAAAAGAAGTTGACAAGATAATTGAAAACGAAAGACAAGGAGTTTATCTGAAGATTCAACGGGAAGACATAATCGGGAGTCTATTGAAATACATTTGTTTAGAAGATAAAGCATCAAAAATTATATTAGCATGATAAGTAAAGAATTTGATATATAGGAAAGAGGAAGACCAGAAAAAAATAAAATCTTAAACAAAAGAAAAATATAAAGATATTAAAATAAGAGTGCGTCAAGTTGAGAAACAGTGCGTCAAATTGAGTTACAGAAACGTTAAAAAAAGATTATTAAATTCGTTGATAAGATTTTCAATGAACTGATAAATGGGCAGTTTTTAAATGTATATCAACGTATATCTTTAGAGGATATACGCTAGCCGGATCGAATGAAAATGGAATCCTCCCATCACTTCTCAGATTGTCCATTTGAGATATATCAATTAATCAGAGTAATTTTAATTTTTGGGGGCTAAGAATATTTCTAGATATGCATCTAGATTATACACAGTTCAATACTAATATGTTTATTTTTATCTATATTTACACAATAGACCTACATTAATATCTTGAAATCTGACCGTCTGCAACTCCCTCTGATTATCAACGATGTAAACCTCCAACTGATTTTTCTTCGACTTGACCGTTATTCCAAACTGGGTGTCTCCTCCTAGCCCCTCCATTCGGAGTAAATGCCAAGGTTTTTTTCGAAAATTTCGTTTTCGAAAAGTAGCAATCAAGGAGAATTCTCTTGGCAAGCCGAGAGGGAACAGTGAGCTGAAGAAAAGAAGCTATAATGAAAAATGAACAAAAAGTAAAGTAATCTTTATTAAATCGAACTCTCAGACCAAAAACGGGGGCGTAGAAAGGTCAACAATCAGATTTCACTTTCTTTTTTTTTGGTAAACATTGTATGCCTAATGAATTGTCATCTTTATTCTTTTCTTCTTTATATATTTTTTAGACTTTTATAAGCTGTTTAACTGTAGTTCATCGAATCCACGAAGATAATATTGTATTACACTTTCTTTCCTTTCAAAATAACAAGTCTCCAGGACCGTTTTGTCTTCGCTCTATTCTCAAAAGCAGCCACAAATTAAATTACATACAACCTGTACGTAATGTTAAAATTAATTATAATTTAACTAACACTATAATGAAAATGTTATTATTAGATTATTCTTATAGTAATGTTTATAAAACTAATCTGAAAAGTATTTAACAATAAAAAGAATATGTAAAAAAAAGAGAGAAAATATGCAATAAAAAACACGACCAGATATTAGTTTTTAATATAAATGAGACGACTTTATCTCACGATGAGAAATTCGTATGTTAAAGACAGACTCCGTCTTTGAAAGCTTAAAACCACTACTCACCTCATAGGTAGGCGGAGTTGAATTTTCTTTGGATGTAGACGGTAAGCAATGTGCATGTTGTTGGAGCCTTTTACTTTCCGAATTCCAGAGAAAGTTACCGCAGACCCTTCTAACTTAATGATTTTTATCAAATCGAAGCCTATAAAAACAAACAAAACAATTCTAATTGCTAAAATAATAAATAACACACAACATTAAAATGGCTACACAATAAACAAGAGGGAATCCTCAATAGCCGTGGCACTTGAAATTCTTTTAGGCACGATTAGAGTAAATTAATCTATAAGACCTTTTTCTCCTTTTTATTAGCTATATTTTTTTTTCCGCCAGCAATACGAAGCGTGGGGCGCCCGTATACCCTATTCGATTTTATTACTCATCATGATCTCTACCAGCCTACCCTCAAATCAAAATTATCTTAGGCGGGATCAGAGTAAATTAACCTATGAGACCTTGTGCGCGGTCAAAACGTTAATCGAAAGAGTTTGACCTCTTGAGACCAAAACTGTAATTAGATCTCAAATCGGCCATGAGATGACCGAATTATGAGCTAAAAGTTGGTACTTGGGGAAAAAAGCGGCTAAAAACAGTTTTAACGTTGCATGTTTTTTATTACCTGAACATTATACTCAAGTGCCAAGAAACAATAACTGTAATTGCTAGCAAAAATTATATAGAGTGAAAATTAACATTTTAAAACTGTACGTGAATAATATCAGGATAAAAAAGACACTACGCTAAAACAGCGTATATAAGCTGATATGATAAGTAAAATATTATTATATCCATTACTCTGTTAAGGTTTAAGACAAGATATGCTCAATTTATTTTGAATTGTTTTGAAGAAAAAACGTTTTATTAAGCGCGAGTGATTTTCTGTATACTTGATATGTGAACAGAAGTAACGTTTCGCAGCCCTTTTATTATTGATGTAGATATTCTTATTTGAGAACAATTTTCTTTAACTTACGCTAGAACAGAATACTTGTTTGTTTGTTTTGAATTTCGCGCAAAGCTACACGAGAGCTATCTGCGCTAGCCGTCCCTAATTTGGCAGTGTAAGACTAGAGGGAAGGCAGCTAGTCAACACCACCCTCCGCCAACTCTTGGGCTACTCTTTTACCAACGAATAGTGGGATTGGCCGCAACATTATAACGCCTCACGGCTGAAAGGGCGAGTATATTTGGTGTAACGAGGATTCGAACCCGCGACCCTCAGATTGCGAGTCGAGCACCTTAACCACCTGGCCATGTCGGGCCAAAACAGAATGACAATCGTACCTGAGAAGTTTCTCTCCTTCACCATCATTTCGGGACATACATTGTCGAATCCGTCTTCTGAAAGAATAAAAAACTATATGAAATTCAGATAAATATGTTACTGTAGGTTAATCACGGGTAATAAACTTCAAGAAGATACCTATTAATATAGAATGTTCTAGGCAATGGAAGATGACCCCGTCATAAATTTTGTAATTAAAATCTCTTTTGAAACGTAACTTCTGTAACTATTGCAGTTATATAAAATAGAATAATTAACAAAATTATTAATTTGACGGTCTAGAAATTTGAAAAGCTGATGTGGTTTCAGTCATTGTTTACACGTGTTTGATATAAATTAATTACGTTTTCTATTAAACTGCTAATTTTCAATGAGAAACTCAAACGTAAAGCTAGTTTTTATTCCTCATTGGTATCTGTTCATTGGGTAAAGGTCATTAAACACGGCACTTTTCCTAAACTCTTATTGCTTAAGGATCATTAAACACAGCACTTTTCCTAAACTCTTATTGATTAAGGATCATTAAACACAGCACTTTTCCTAAACTCTTATTGCTTAAGGATCATTAAACACAGCACTTTTCCTAAACTCTTATTGATTAAGGATCATTAAACACAGCACTTTTCCTAAACTCTTATTGATTAAGGATCATTAAACACAGCACTTTTACTGAACTCTTGTTGATTACGGATCATTAAACACAGCACTTTTCCTAAAATATAACATCAAGAATATAGTATTGAATGTTTCGCTGAGAATTTCTGGTAGGACAAAAAATCACGTGTCAATTCTTCTTCGCGAAAGAATTTCTAATACTACACTACATTATGTAATAATAACAATGGAAATAAGAAAAAGTTAAAAACACCTTTAAAAATGATCAGTAAAGCTACTTCATTTATTTGCATTAAAACGATTAATACTGAAGCTGAATAGACTGGGTTATTTCTAATTCACCAGAAAATGATAACAAGTTTGTAACAATATAGTTTAATGAAGACGAATGATACTCGTGAAGATACTGCTATAAAATGTTATGAAAAAAATATACTACTTAACGCAATAAAGTAATCGTATTGGCCATTCCGCTTGCGTTATATTTTACGTGCACTTCCTTATCACTGTAGTTCTAAAGCCAAGAACATAAAAAATTTTTTTTCAGTTAAATGTCACACACTTAACTGGAAGTTTTTAGGCCTTTCTCTGTAAGTATTTCTCATAATTAGTTGAAACTGTATATTATATGATTAAATAATTGCCTTTTCTAGGTCCTTGACCTATAATTACACTCAATACTCAATGATGACGTATAGACAGACACCCTCGTGTGTCAAACCACGAGAAAGTTCACGCATATCTAATGAAGTTTTTATGTCTTTGTTATGAAGGCCTATGCCAAAACAATTTAAAGTACAATGAAACATTATAATATGTTCTAAAAGATTTATCCTCGTCCCAATTATACGCTTGGTAAAAGAACTCAATGCAAAAGCAAATGTGCATAGAAAACGTAGGATTATTCCCAATAATAAACATTCAGAGCACGAATGTTTGTCATACAAACAGGCACAAACACATATATATATATATACATTTCACACGGACACCTACACATTTTAATTTCATTTGGTTTTTTTTGTTTGTTTGTAGTTAAGCACAAAGCTACACAATGGGCTATCTGTGCTCTGTCCGTCGCGGGTATCGAATCCCGATTTCTAGCGTTGTAAGTCCGCAGACATATCGCTGTGCCACTAGGGGCTAATTTCATTGGAAAATAAAGAAACTGAAATGTACATGTAAGTATAGAAAAAAAAACCATTTTAAAAATCCTTGGGAAAAAGTTTACAAAATATTTACAAAAAGAAGAAGAAAAAAAAAGATATAGTTTACCTACATCCAAAGCACTTAGAATAAAAGCGCGATTAAAACTATATAAATTTTTTATTTTGAATGCATTGGTTTATATTCATGAATTTTTTACAAGTCACAAATATTATATTTCTACGTTTAAGCTAGATGTTTCATTGTATATTACGTTTTCGTTTTTAAATTTTTTTCCCGTTTTCCAATATTGTTTCTCTATTTTCCCTATTTGCCATCACTGTTTAGTTTCTCATTAATAGGCCCGGCATGGCCAGGTGGTTAGGGCGCTCGACTCGCAATCTGAGGGTC